ATATTTAGAATCAAGACGATCTATTCATAGACCCACAATTTCCATCTTCCTCGATCTGTACGTGGCCTTTGACCCAAAAGACCACGCCGAACTCTGTCGGCACGTTTCCCTGAAGGTTGTGTCTCAGAATGTTATTTAAGTATTACGATCTTTTTATATCGACTATCCGAAACCGCGTTCGAGCTTACGGCACATTTTCGCTCAAGTTTGCCGCGGCAATGGGTGCTTTTTAGTTTGTTCTCTCTCCGCGTGATATGTTTAGCAGTATAATACAGCACTTATCTTATCAGTCGATGTCGGTATCGATTTACTCCCAAAGGAGGCTTTAAATTGGAGGACTTGAAAGGCAGTGTTCTTCAAATTGAAAATTCAGGTAATTTGTAGGCTCTTAGATGCGGTGGGTATGTTAGTGCTAACCGAAAAATCACTGGATAGCTGTTTTGTTCTGTTCGGGACTCGTCAGCATTGTGTACTTTTCGTGTCCTTGATAGCCGACTCCCATATTCCGATCTTTATACATATCTATACTTTTACAAAACTGCATTACGGTTACACAAGTTTGGTGGAAGAAAGCTCCGCATTATGGTGTTGATCAAATCACCTAAAATCATCTTGAATACTGAATTTACTGCTTTCATTTGGATTTTGGTGTACATCAAATCTATTTTTAAGAATCTCTCGTGCCACAACCGCTCAAACCGTCGTCGTATTAATATCATTTCTGTTGCATCACAGGTGATGAAATTGCTAATACTTCGCAGACTCAATTGGATTAAACAACGTCATTTTGGTGAAGAATAAACTGAACTCTACACCACAAGGAGCTGCGTTACCCACATGTTCGCTCTACGTCAGATGCTTGAGCAATGACAAAGGTCCAGTAGACCAGTCGTTGTTGTCTTTTAGATATACGTGTTTCGTTTGACGCAACTGAAGGAGTTGCTGTTTGTTATTGTCTGTTAAGATGCAATGTCTCAGAGAAATCCGTAAACCTTCTCAAAGCTATCCACTCAAAAATATCAGGCCGTGTCAATCGCCATCACAAATGGTGTCCGACAATGGTGGCCGGCTTGACCATTCGAATTTAATATCGCGCTGTACAAGATCCTTGTCAGCTCTCTAGTAACTGCAGAGCTTCCAGTGTGCAGTTACTTGCAGGTGATCAAATTTGTGACCTGAAATAAGCAGACGACATCGTCATACTCTGGGACTCATCTGAAGACGCTTAAAACGTCCTATGCAAGATAGCGTTGTCCGTCACGCAGTTCGAAATGACATTTTCTCCATCGAGATATAAGATCTTACTTCAACATTGGTAAGAGGCTACACATACCTTTACGCTATGAGTGACCAGTTGGAAGTTGTCGATCACTTTATTTATCTTGGAAGGAGTTTCAGCCGA